AGCTTCCCCCCATTCTGCTGGGCCCTACTGTCAGCTTCCCCCCATTCGTGATGAGTCCTTCACAGTATGCGGATCCCGCTGGAACAGTGTCGTCCATGTCCGGCTGGCCCGAAACCATTGAATTTTCGGGGGATGCGATTGCTCACGGTCAGCATCAAGTCGGGAAACTAAAACGTGGGGTTCGGAAACTGGGAACCCCCCCTCCCAACCCATAGTTTCTGATCCCGTAGTTTTCCGAACCCGTCCAAAATAGTTGCTGAAACAAACCGAAATTCTGAACCCGACTAGACCAGTTTCTGAACCTGTGGTTTTAGTTTCTGGGGCATAGTTTCTGAACCTGGGCCAGTTTCTGAACTTGACTTTGTTGGAGTGGTCACCTTTCGAGCAGTCTAAATGTTTGGAACAGCTCCGGGCAATACTGACACCGGGGACTCTTGGAGAATCAGGAAATAAATGATTTGTTGTGAACTTGGGAGTTCGAAGTCTCCTCTCAGCATGTGGGTCAACCAAAACCGTCACAGTGTCTCGAACGGCACATCGAAACCTGCCTCCCAGTGCGACTCCCAGGTGCTCTGATTCCAACAACTGCCTTCTAGATGCTGTACGCTTCTTGTCTAGTAGCGATGCCAGGAGCCCCTAGTAGCGTTCCTACTCCTAGTAGTAAGGCCAGGAGCTCCTAGTAGCGTCCTTCACAACTGCCTTCTAGGTGCTGTACACCACCCCCCCCCTCTCCACACCACCATGTTCCCATCGCCAAGTTCGGCGTCCGGTCGCCGTCGGTCGCTTCGGGCCTCGTCGGTGCCCTTCTCGTCCATCTCCTGGGCCTGCACCGCACCGGCAACTGCCCACCGTTTGGACCGGCGCGTTGGAGAAACCTGAGGGCAAAAAGGCCGATTTAGGGACCTTGTGATGAAGATCAATCGAGGGCAAAGTATCCAAATCTGACTACGCTTTGAAATAAACGATCGGTACTAGATTTTTATGCAGGACTTGGCACTTTGGATCATCCAACTCAGCAATGCGACAGATCACGTCCCGTTTGTTTCAGCCAGCTCAAACTAGCATTGCGCATGGAGAACCAGACTTAAGCATATGTGCAGAATATCATGCACCTGTGTGGCGCTAGATGGCCACCCTTTCAGCAACGTTTCGTCTCACTCTCTGATCTTTCGCGGCTCAAAACCCAGCACCTTCAAAAATGACTCGGAAACACAATGACTAAGTCGTAGACTGAGGATTTCGGACGACGTCACAGAAAGTCACAGTCCTCTGTCCAACCCCCATATCCCGCCTCATTCGCGAGCTTCTCAAGTGAGGGATCACAATGGCCTGGCGAGCCGCAATCAGAAGCCTTTGGATTGTCAGGCTGGCATGCAACGCGTCCCTGCACATGTAGGTTCCGTGGACAAATTCATGGTGAGGCAGACGGTCTAAGAACCTTGTTCGGGCAGTGACGAGTTGGGAATGAGCCGACCTTTCCATTGACTCTGGGTGTTTTGCTCCCAATGTGTAAAAATGCCTGGCCCGTTTACCTTCCATGTGGAGAGTTCTAACGGCCGCTGGATGTTTTCATCTATAACAATTCAATAAGGCACTTCACAATGTTCACATCCCGCTGCTTCAAGCTGGAACTCCCTTGAAGGGAGTCGTGTGCGATGCACAAAAGAAACCTGGCCTACTGCTGGAGGATCTACACTCTTGCGGACCTTCAATTTTCTCACAAAGCAAAGCTGTAACATGGAACCAACATTTCTTGCCAATTGGAGTGTGAACCGAGAGGACGAGACCAACAGACCCAAAGAAAGGATTGAAAGGAAGGTCAAAGGCAAGAGCTGAGGGACCTTGACCCCTCTGTTGCAACCCCAATACACACTCCGAGCCCTCCAAGCCGTGTCCTTCTCAAAAACTCATAGACACACTCACCCAACTTGCTGGTGGATTTCATGAGAGTTCCTCCAAACTTGCTCGGGCTTCACAATGTCGTTCGGCCTTACAACGATTCATGTAAAGTAAAGATCGAGCTTGGTGGAAATCCGTTTCCCGATTCCAAACCCAGAGGTGCTCTGCGAAGCTTCGACACTTCAATCACAGCTGGCGAACGCAGCGGGTTGTGTACCCCCCCTCAGCGACCCAGGAGAAGGAACATGACCAAAACATATTCTATTAAGTATATACGGTAGCTGTACCGCTTCGGAAAACGCAGAAATTTGCAGGAGAAGAAACATCATCCAAGATGCTTTGTTCCAGCTGTTCCAAATTCTACTTTACCTACTTTTGATCCAGACACCAATAGCCATTTGGTGCTGTTTCAGTCCCACCCACATAGAGGAATGTAAAGGGGAGGGTCCACGCCACACTGGCGTACGTGCGCCTTCTTCCCGGTAGCCCACCTGAGCCGGTGGGAAATGGTCGAGCCACCGACAAATACCTCAAAGAGAAGATGGGTCAGGACCAGCAGGAGAATAACCAGGTTGCCATGGTGCCAAGTAACTTGGACATGCCAGGTCTTTCCTAAACACCTGAACTAGCCTAGCCCGAAACTAGGAGCAAAGACGCTACTAGGGGCTCCTGGCCGTACTACTAGGAGCATTCTTGCTAGTAACAAGAAGCATCAAGAAGCTATGAACGTAGCAAAGGGCATCGCTTCCAAAATCAGGTCTTTCCCATCGACCTTCCGGCCGGCTGCCCCGTTTCGGGGGCCACCACGCCTCCCCGGTGAAGCCCGTGAGGTCCACGCACGGCTTCGCAGGCTTCGCCTGGCCATCTGAGAGAGGTCTGGAAAGTCTGCAGATCTTGGGCCTCCACCCTAGTAACCCTAGAAGCAAGAATGCTCCTAGTAGTACGGCCAGCAGCCCCTAGTAGCGTCCTTGCTCCTAGTAGCGATGCCCTTTGCTACTAGTAGCTTCTTGTTTCTAGTAGCGACGGCCTCCAACCTAATAGCGATGGCCTCCACCTAGTAGCTTCTTGTTTGAGAATATGTCGGTGTGGGTCAACTAAAGATTCACGCAGGTGCTTTTTCCTTCACCGGCCCAGGCCCAGGTCTTTCTTTTTGAGAACTCCTGACCGGAAAAGGGTCGTTGACTCTTGACCTTTATAGAACGTTTTAGATGAAGATCAGGTGCATATATGTCGTTGAAGTGTGTATTTCTCTTGGGTGAGACCGGTTGTTGGTTCCGTCCAGGTTGCCTTTTAAGGAATCAAAGTGGGACCGTAAAATCCCTCAAAGCCTTCTATTCTCCACACTGATGGACTGAACAACCGAATCAACCGGGTCACTGAAGCACTGAAACCTCAAGAAACAACTGCTACCAGTCAGAGATGCAGGCTTTCAGCACCACACTGCGTTCGAGGTCATCAACTGCGTCGGTCCCACCTTCTTCAGGCGGCCGCTTCGTGGTCGCTCCGTGGGCGCCTGGAGAAGTCTCCCCAAGCAGAATGAGACCACAGATCCCTTTCCACTAAAAGTTTAGAGTGGTTTAGAGCAGTACTCTAAATTTAAGAGTGGCACTCTAAACTGCTCTAAACCGTCTATGAAAATGCTCACTGATTGGCATCGTCATGAGTCTCTATGAGATGCTTCTCGTGGTATACCCCCCTTTACCACGGCCCCTGGGGCCCCTACTCACTCTGAAATGTCAGAGTGTTTTAGATGAAAGGGGTCTGTGGGAAAGGGGTCTTTCAAGACGCCGTCTCTGAAACTGTAGACGATGGTGAAGGTAGGACAACTCAGGGTCATTGTATCAACAACCTTGATTGATGGGTCACTGGGTCATCCCAATACCACTGGTTCCCAATTGCTTAGACAACTCTGTCAGCTTCGACTTTTCTCCATGGAAATTGATGAATCTGCCTGCGGGTCACAAAGGAGCTAGGTTGCTCAAGTTGCTCAAGCCGCTATTTTAACACCAGTTGGATGGTTGGACCCAGCCAACTTCCCTCCTACCGACCCAACTTCCCCCTCTCTTCTGCCCATGCGGTGCTGCTTGGGACCTGTGGCAGCTTCTGGCTCCACTTCTCCTGGAACAAGGAATGCCGAGGGACACTCCGTTCCGTCAATGGTTCAGAAGGTATTGGCCAAGAGCATAGACTTACTGACGAAAGTTGGCAGTGTCAATGCCAATCTGGATAGACTTTCGCCTACATCCTCATTTGGGTATCCTCAAATAGATTGCAAGAATGAAAAGGATGGGGTGCCTCCATGAAACAAACTTTGATGTTGAGTTCGGAGCAACGGCGTGACAAATCATTTCGGCAGATCTCTGCTTCAACCTGAGCATGGCAGCTTAGGGAAACGGATCCTCTCTGACTTTGGATGGTCTTATGAGCTAACAGCTGCATAATAGAGTCACCGTGGATGCTTTTGCTGCTACCAACCCTCCTTTTTTGGGCTCTTTCTGGGCGCTTCAGAATTATCCAATGGTTTGGAAAGGGCTGGACCTTTTTCCATGAAGGCCACCGTACTTTCAGAGGATGAGCTGGCTGTGGCTTGCGAGTGCCTGGAAATCCGTTGATACATCTTGAGACTCCTTGGTGGAAGGTGTGTCTTGTCTGTGCATGTGTCATGTGACCTGCTCCCCTTGCTGGAAACCCCGTAAATGAACAGATTGGTCCACTGATTCTCCCATGCGAACTTTCAACCCAACTGGGCAAGCGCCTCAGCCGGATGGGCTGGGTGCTTCTGCTTCTCTTCCATTGGGCCTGGCACACCGCTGCATGTCAAATTGCAAGCATCCTGAAGATCCGGAGCGAAGGACTACTGCAATCCGCTTCAAGATTGCTGGCCGTGAAAGAAACGTGTTCCTGCCCCCCAAACGACGTGTATAATATATTTAGAAGGAAAGGAAGAATAAACAATAAAAAGAAACAACAGTGCCCAGTGCCCTATCAAAAGAACATGCCCCTCAGCGTGGATCGTTGCTGTCGAGGTGCCTGCTTTTGTGGGAACAAAAAGAAGAGTTCATTCGATGAAGCTGTCGCCAAGAAACTTTAGATTCCCATTCTGCAAGGGTTGGACGATTTCTGATTTGGTGTTTTCATGGTGCCCACATTCTTTGGAGGCAAATGACTTTCGTAAGGGTAGGCAAAAAGGCACAAGTTCAATCAACAATCTACCGTCGTCCCACGGTTCTCATCTCGGAACGAGGACATGAAGGGATTGGTGTTGGTCTATCCTGACAGATGGAGATCTCCAGACTTGTTGCAAACGAAGACCCCCAGCTCCAGAGGGTCCAGTCTCAACTTAAAACATGGCTCGTCAATCCGGATCAAGGTCCTAAATGATTGGATTCATTGGACTCAAACCATGCTGAGTTATCCAAAAAGATCCTCCAAAAATCATCCAAAACATCTGGCAATGCACCTCGATCCTCCCAACCACCCTTAATCTACAAAACTAAAATTAATAAGCATCATGTCCCTCCAAGCAGCGGTCTAGTCTAGCGACTCCTTCACCCCCTGCGCGGCGGTCGAGCAACGTTCAAAAGGAGACCTGCTCCGACCCGTCGGTCGAGCGACTTCGAACGGAGGTCCGACCGCTAGAGGTCCTGCGCCTCCCGAGGGTTTCGACTCCAGGCGCCGCTCGAGGGTGCGCTGGCGCCGAAGCAGCTCGTCCATCCGGCTCTCAATGGCCTGCACCGAAAAGCGACCGAACGACGAAAGCCCAAGCCGGCGTGGCCGAAGCCAGAAGCGAAACTTTGGGGCAAGGCCAGAGTTGAAATTCATGCTGAAACAATGCATGCGCCAGAAAAACAGCATTTGGGGTTCTTCATGTCCTCGACCCCCAAAGTCAGCCTTGTCAGTCCAGTGTCCCTAGCAGCCCGTACCTGCAGTCTTCGGACCACCAGCTGGCTCAGGTCGTTCCTCTCCTCTCGGTCGCTGGGCTCGTTGTTGATCGGGGCGCTGCGCGGGGATTCCTGAGCGCTTCGACGTCCGCCCGAGGGCATCGCCGCCGGTGACGGCACGGTGATCGATGGTCAATGGTCAATGGATCGCCTGGAAAGAGCAGGAGATGGTCCGATTCGGTTGTCTCACACCAAAGTATTCCCATGATTCAAAGAGGGATCACTTTGATTGTAGCATGGGCAACTTCATGCAACTTCTTAACTAATCGCCATAGGATGAGTAGAACCTCAGGATGACCAGTAAGATGTCTCATCAACGAGCTAGAAAGGCTTCACTAGAAGTGCACCAGCACAGGCGTCTTATTCTTGCAGGGAACGTCCGAAATGCTTGTTTTTGTGTGTGTGCGTATGTGTTCCCAAAACATGGCTGGCCATAGTGTACTTCCCATGAATGTTTCACCACAGAGGATCGTGTTGCCTGTCAGAGATCTCATCTCCTCTAAACAACTTACTGTACATTCCTGAGGATGAAACCAAGGAAGAGATTGATTACCCTGTCTGAACAGAGGGCCATGCAAAAGAGCTGGGATTCTATCCGTCACATCCTGCATCCTTCCGGCAAAGAAAAACCGTGCGCAAAACGATGTGCGGGAAGCAATAAATGCCAACCAAATGGGAGAAGAAAAATCTATGAGTATGTGAGAGATCCCTATGCATTGAAAGATCTCTGTCAACGTTCTGAAGAACCAAAAACCTCAAAGTAAGCTAAAAGGATTCCTTGGAACGAAAAGTAGACTAAAACGCTTGCTGGGAAGAACAGCCAATTGAAACGATGATTCCCTTAAATAGTGATTTGTTTCCCCAAACTTTGAACTTGTGTTGCCTACACACTTGCCATGTTTCAAGATATAGTATATAGTTGTGGAAGGTGACCGAGTACAGGTGACGGTCGGAAACTGGGCCACCGCGCCCCGCTATCGCTTTGCTCGCAGCGGCCCGACTCCCCCTGACCAGCCAGGGTCGTTCGATGGATCAGACATCCTCTCTACAAAAGACTTGACGGGCTCCAAGAGTAGAAACATGAATGGAATTTGGCCACAGCACTGCAGCCATCTTGTACTGATGGCAGTCCACCACTTTTCATGGATCCCTCCCATCCCATGGGCAAACGTACCACCTTGCCGTCTCGCACCCGCACACGGGGCCGTCTCATCCTGCCTCGGAGGTCTTAGGGACCTTGGGGACCTCAGAAGGCCTTGGAGCGTCGTTGGATGAGTTCCACGCATGGAAAATTCAGGAACGAAGAACTGTGAAACCGGTCAGACATCTCTCCAGCCGAGATGTACCGATGTACCGCAAAGAGTCTTGCGCACCGCAAGGTGGCAAAAGAATTGCAAAAAGCGAGTGGCTGCAGTGAGATCTAACAAAGGTGAAACGCTCTGTTTGACTTCTAGGTTTCAGCCTGGTGGCTTCAGCAGTAGAAGCACGGACGGCCTTTATTAATCGAAGGTGGAGCAAACTCCATTCTGCAAAGTCCGATATGTATGTTGCACGAGTCATAAACAACATCTTTGGTTGTAGGAGCCATTTGGGGATGGATGGTCATTCATAACCAGGGAGTGCCGACCCAAGGCTTTGTCCAATCCTCACGATTTTGCATCACGCAACATTTGTATAAGCTTCACTTCCAACACAGACGAAACAGCCTAGTCGTCACGTCCAATCGCGGGGGCCTTTGCCATGCGCCAAAATGTGTGCACCATGAGACCCAAAAATACGCTGCAACTGGGGCCTCTTGATGGGAAAGTAACTTGTTCCAATGGATTAACTCAATCCAATCTGGATCGTAGCCTCGATTGTCCGTAATCAGGGCGTTCAATCCATTGACAGTCACCTGCAACTCCACAATATAGGTTATGATATGGTTCCTCAACATCTTCACGAAATCAAACGCCATCCCCAAAGGCCTTCAGCCAGCTCAAACCCGGTGCAAAAAGAACACCTAACAAAGTCCAGAAGAACGTCGGCATCCTCGGTCCCTCTGCCAAAGGCACCCTCCTCGGACCTTCCACGGCGTCACCGTGGCGCCGCCCAGGCCCTTCTCCCAGCGCTGCCGCACCCGGCGCTTGCGATCCCGTTCCTCAGTTTTTCGGCGAAGGTGTTGGGAAGAGACAATAGTAGCGTCCTTGCTCCTAGTAGTAAGGCCAGGAGCCCCCAATAGCGTCCTTGCTCCTAGTAGCGATGCCAGGAGCCCCTAGTAGCTTCTTACAACATTCTGGGACTGCGACTGGGATCTGAAAGAAACTGAACTGGAATTGAACCGGATGAAATCGATTGTTTGGACGGGATGGAAAGGAACAGAACAGGGGGGTTGCATGGGCGGTTCGCGGCTTGTCGTAGTGGTGGGAGGACATGATCCCACGGATGATGTGATTCACCACGGTTTGTGCTGGTGATCATTCCGTCCCTCACATCCCGAGCCCCAGTGATTTCCCAGAAGAGAACCATGAGGAAGATCGCCATCGCTATTAGGTCGGAGGCCATCGCTGGGAGGCCATCGCTCTTAGGGGGAGCGGGCTAAAAAAGACATTTGTGAGATCGCTGGTGTTGAGAAGAAGATGTCTTGGGCACAAGCCACGCGGAGAGGACTTCAAGAATGACCCATGTTTCAGCGGAGCTCGTTTGTGGCATCAGTCGTTTCGGTGCTGCGTTGTCTGCTTCTTAAGACAAAGAACTCACCACAAGAAATTGTCCAATATCAATTCAAGACCAACCAATACCAGCTTCGCCCAAACACCTTCAAATGTCTCTTCAAAAGTAGGTTAATTCCTTGACAAAGTATACCAGCATATGGCATAGACCTCGAACAGTTTCAACCGGATTTTGGCAAAACTGCCTTGAATTTCATCGTTGCTGGGAAGGTATGTAAAACCTTCAGCTGTTTTGGAACATCGTGTAAACAAAACATTGGGACAGGATTTCAGGATGATATCAAAATTGAAACTGAAAGCAAACCCAGACAACGCGGTGGAGAAAAGGGAAACGGCACGGCCAAGCACGGGACAAAGCGGCAAGGCCGATGAGCGGGCCGACAATGCGGACAAGCAGGACACAAGGCTGAGCCCCTAGTAGCGTCCTTGCTCCTAGTAGTAAGGCCAGGAGCCCCTAGTAGCTTCTTTGCTCCTAGTAGTGATGCCAGGAGCCCCTAGTAGCTTTCTACCATATGACTGTCATGACCCAGATCCAAATTGCTTTGAGCATCCGCATGGCGCTCGACGGTCTGCAGCAACTCCTCTCGTTCCTTGGGGTAGAAGTGCCAGACATGCCTGAAACGGCCATCACGTGGATGATCGAGTCACTCCAACGAACCAGCAAAGGTGTTGTCCCAGCTTTATCAACGGTTCCAGTTGATCCAAATGGATCTGGAGGGAATGCCAACCTGTGGGTCTCAGTTGATGTCTCAGGTAGCCTGACCGGTGCTCCACGGGCCAGCACGGAACTGATAAAATTCACCCTGTGTAGGAATCATGATTCCTGATGAAATGCCCTGTCGACACACCCCCGTCATTTGCCCCCCAAGTGATGGTCCCAACTGGCTCCGACATGTTCCACCGGCCTGATGGCACTGGAAGGAAGGGCCGAAACGATGACATAGGTGTCCGCACCTTGTCGTCGACCCGGCTGGGCACCCAACGGGGGACATTCATAGTTTCTTTTTTGGAAAGCGGTTTGGGACCCCGAATCTTGGTGGCGGTTTGGGTCATCTTAATCGAATCACCTCCCTGGCAAAGACAATCTGCCGCTAAACTCTTGTGCAGCAGTCTCATTCTAACCCCTGACCACATATCCACCTGTTGGCGGATCCCCCGTGTGTCTGTTTGTTGGTGGGTCCCCTGGCCCAAGACATGTGAATGTGCTACTGGAATATCCAAACCAGAAAGTTGGGCAATGAAAAGGTGGAAACGATGTGCAACCAGCGAGACGCACCAAACCAAAGTGGTCGGAAAATCTCGAAATGTGCCAACGCGCAGCCACCTCCGCATCCAGATCTGAGCTTCCATTCAGCTTCTAGGTGTCCGCACGAACCCAAGCAGTTCGGACCGTGTCTCTGACCAGCGCAATCTCACCTGTCTCAAGCTCGAAGAGGGGTACAAACCCAAGTCGATCAACGAGGACCCACTCTCAACCTTTCTCAGCTACTGAAATGAGAAACTAAAGCCGCTTACACGCGCACACACACTTATTGAAGTGCGTACGGATGTGAATGCCGCTCGCCACACGACGACCTAGGTAACCAGGCACAGGGTTCACGTGAGTTACAACACTTATTGAAAAGCGTGCGGATGATCTTGTTCTAATTAAAACGGGGCCCAGTAGGAACAGAAAGTCAGAACTCTCCAGGTACGCAGTTGGACGTCTCCAACTGTATCACAGGTGACTGATGAGCGTCTTTGTTAGCACCGGTCTCATCAGCACCCCCGGTGCCCCTGCTGTGAAATGCAATAATCGAACAGCATCAAAAATCTGCCAATCCATCAGGACCCCTATGTTTCCAAGCATTACACACACACACACAGGCCTCCCCGAGGGACAGCGAAGAACTAAGGCGAAGGCAAATGTGCACGCGTGCGCGCTGCACGGACAAAAGGATGAAGACATGAAAAGAGGGCAAAACAGGACAAAAGTGTACGTGGTTGCGATGAGAAGGAACCAAGTGCAAAGGGGCAAACAATGAACCCCACCTCATTATCAAACCTGGGCGACCTAAAACCTGGGTTAAAGCCCGGGACCAATGTGTGCGCAAAAAAAAATAAGGAATGAAATGCCAGGACATGAAGACAGGAGGACATGCAAAAGAAGAGGAGAACAAGTGTGTGGGAAGGGGAAGGATGAAAATGGAACCAAATGGAAGGGACGAGAACCGATGAAGCCAAACCTTGTTGAAAACCTGTTGCAACGCCTCTTTTGTGTGTGAACGCATCGCACGCGAGGGAGGAAGGGGTAGGGAGAGAAGAGAAAAAAAAGAAGAAAGGAAAAGAAAAGAGGTCTTCCAGCTACGACCCAAGCCTCCAAGGACACACCAAGAAGAAGAGAAGGGTTTTCAGCTATGACGAAGACACCCAAGCAAGAAGGAAAGCGTCCAGGGACACACCAGGGAGGGTGTACCTGAGTGTTACATTCAGGAACACCCCCAAAATATAAGGCCGAGAAGGAAGAGGGGAAGGGTAAGGGGAGAAAGGGGGAAGGGGAAGGGGAGAAAGGGGGTTAAGGTCCCGACAGACTTGACTGAGTCTTGAACAAGCTTCGGCCGCTGCGGCCACGTACGCCGCCCCAAATTGGCTGGCTGCTCAGACCGCTCCGGTCGCCTAATGGCTTGCTCGAAAGCTGCCTACATGTACTCAATGGCATGAGGCTAAGCCCAGAACCTCAAAGACATGGTACCTAATGCTTGTGAACTCTGCAGATGTGCACGCACGCCGTCATTTTGTCGATCCGAACTCGTCGCTTTGGTGCTTGCGCCTTGGGCCTCACTTCCTCTTGAAGACCCCTGGTTCTTTAGGACTTTCCTGGACCTTTCAGGATTTGGGTTTCTTAGGCTGGCGTGTGGCACCGCTGTCAAGTCAGTACGCATATCCATAAGTGTGTTTGGCCTTGCGCCAACCCGGGATGAGCCCGTAGAGTGCCTCCCGTGGACCCGTCGAACGGGCGTTTGTCCATGTTCCCCGGCTTTGGGAGCGGACAGTAGCTGGCTCATGCCACCAGAACTCCGATTTTTGTCCCATTTCTGGAGTTCCAAGCTGGCTCATGCCTTTACGTGACCGCAGCGGTCAGAGGTGGCCGCCCTCGGGCATGCCGTAATTACGTGGTCGCAGCGACCGAAGTTTGCTCAAGGCTAGTCCCCCCCTTCCCCTTCCCTCCCCCTTTCTTTCTTTGCTTTTTGGTGTTTTCCTGAATGGAATACTCAGGATCACCCGTCCCTGGATGTTTTGTCATAGCTGCAAACCCTTCTCCTTCTTTTGGTGTGTCCTTGGACGCTTGCGTCGTAGCTGGGAACACCTTCCTTTCTTCCCTTTCCTTTTCTCGTCTCTCCCTACCCCTCCCTCTTGTCGGGACCTTAGCTTGGGTTGCTACTAGGGGCTCCTGGCCTTTCTACTAGGTGCCAGGTTGCTACTTTGAAGCTACTAGAGGTTCCTGGCCTTTCTTCTACTTTGTCCGCGCCTATCGAGGATGTACGTCTTATCGACGTACTGAGTCGCAAACATGAGAAATGGACTCTACGAATGGCCGATTGGTTCAGTTTGAGGGATTCCGGAATCGTCCAGAGGCCTCCCTTTGGGGAGGCGTGTGTGTGTGCCCCTTGTAGTCACAAAGATCCAGTCGGATTGTGCTAATTTTTTCGTTTTTCGGCAGGGGGTAGCGGCAGATCATTTGGGACCGCTACCAACGAAGACGCCCATTTGATCTGGTGATATCGGAGTTGGCCACTCCGACGTACCTGCGATTTTCCAATGGCATGAGGCTAAGCCCAGAACCTCAAAGACATGGTACCTAATGCTTGTGAACTCTGCAGAGGTAATGTGCACGCACGCCGTCATTTTGTCGATCCGAACTCGTCGCTTTGGTGCTTGCTCTTTGGGCCTCACTTCCTCTTGAAGACCCCTGGTTCTTTAGGACTTTCCTGGACCTTTCAGGATTTGGGTTTCTTAGGCTGGCGTGTGGCACCGCTGTCAAGTCAGTACGCATATCCATAAGTGTGCAACCCTTGGAATCATGGGGATCCTGATGAATTGACAGATTTTTGATGCTGCTCAATTATTACGTTTCACAGCAGGGCACCGGGGGTGCTGATGAGACCGGTGCTAACAAAGACGCTCATCAGTCACCTGTGATAAAGTTGGAGACGTCCAACTGCGTACCTGGAGAGTTCTGACTTTCTGTTCCTACTGGGCCCCGTTTTAATTAGAACAAGATCATCCGCACGCTTTTCAATAAGTGTGTGTTTTGTAACTCACGTGAACCCTTAGGCGCTTGGTTACCTAGGTCGCCGCGCGGCGAGCGGCATTCGCATCCGTACGATTTCAATATACGCATTTCAATATATAAGTGTGTCTGACCTTCGCGTCAGCCCAGGGTGAGCCCGCAGAGTGCCCCCTGTGGACCCGTTGAACGGGGGTTTGTCCAACGTATCCCCTGCCGGGATACAGAGCAGCTCGCCGCGAGTGTAGGAGGCTTGAGCCAAAGTTACTTGCCAAGACCTGCTGAACTATTAAAAAATCGCAGGTACGTCGGAGTGGCCAACTCCGATATCACCAGATCAAATGGGCGTCTTCGTTGGTAGCGGTCCCAAATGATCTGCCGCTACCCCCTGCTGAAAAACGAAAAAATTAGCACAATCCGACTGGATCCCTGTGACTACAAGGGGCACACACACACACATACCATCACGTTCCATCCAGCATCTGTCCCAACAACCTTGAAGTCCAACACCGGGTCTTGTGTCATGAAGAATACGAGATCAGCACTTCAAAGCTCCTTGTTGGCTTCAAAATTGGTCGATCTGATCATATTCCCAAAAGGATGTGTCAAAGGTCTTTCCAGCACTGATTGCTCTGCGCTCCCAAGCTGGGGCGTCGGGCCAAACTGATCTCCGACACCAAGGCGTTGTGGGATCGGCTTGGCTTTGTCCACGTTGTGTTCGTCCTGCACGAGGTGCTGCAGAGCAGCGTGAGCAGCGGTATTGGGGAGCATCCTGGCGAATCTTCTGGGTGCCTGCGTCGCTCTAACCGTTCTAATCTCTTTCTTTCAAAAAATGGGTTGTTGAAGCAACATCACTGCAGGATCCCTCTAATCAGACTGGCAGCTGCTAGAGATCAGATCGGGCACTCGAGAGCGGAAGAACTTCGATACCAAAAAACAGGATACCCTCTCCTTAACAAATATGGGCAAGTGCTGGAAATGGTGTGGAAGATTTGCTGTTTTGTACTTTACCAGGGGTGGTCTAGTCCTCTGCTAGTTTTCCTGGGAGTGCACTTTCAGAAAAATGGCTGCCTGTGACGGCTCCATGTCTATGTCTTTCTCGACCAGAGAGTGAATCCAGACTCATCCGAGGATCGGAAGTGGTCAGAGCTAAGAAGTGAGGATTTGGTTCCAGCCATTCACATCTTTCAGGCCAAAGGACCTTTTGACTCCTGGACTCCTGGCCTAAAAGACCATCCGGTGATGCCAAAGGACCCCAAGCCAACAAAACCAACCCCTTTCACCTCTTCCTTGTCCAAAGACCCTCGCAACAGATGGTCCTCGTGGTCGGCCACCAGGATGGTCAGCCATCCTCGACTCACGAAGTACATCCTCGGGCACGCGCTGGGCGGAACTCCAAAGGCCGAAGTACATTCTCGTCTGCTTGTTTACTTGCTAGCTTCTTGTTACTACTAGTAAGGCACTTGTTCCTAGTAGCAATGCACTTGTTACTAGCAGCTTCTTGTTTACTTACTAGTAGCGAACCTTGTTCCTAGTAGCAATGCACTTGTTACTACTAGCGATGCACCTGTTACTAGCTTCTTTGATAGCGCCAAGCTGCGAGGTGGCCACCTCACCTTTCCGCACCACGTAGTCCCCAGGCAGAAAGACTTGGTCCTCCAAGTGGCACATTTGTACGGGGCGTGGTAAAAACGCCCGGTGGGACGGGGCACAAGTGTCGCAGTCTGGTTTCAGGATGTCCAAAGCCTTGACCCAGAACACACCGCCCTGGGACGTTCCTGGCGTGCTCAAGGGAGCTCGACTGTCCTCTAGCACATTCACCACGGCAATGATGTAGTTGGGGTCCTTGTTCCTGGAAGACACACAAGCAGCACACAGCAATACACGATAATACAGGCAGCTACCAATTGAAGACCACCTACCCACCGACCCAGGAGCTCCCAGCGGTTCCGATCCTGAAGTGTGGAGATGTGACCAGGGTTTGCCGGTAGAGATAGACCAGCAAAGTGTTCTCCAAGGCTTTGCTCAAGTTCTTCTTCTCGAACAAGCTGTTGAAGGCCTAAGACGAGACGAGCACGTAGCTGGAGCAACTGATGAGGCCGATCTTCCGACCCCTTCATCGGCACTGGCAAAACAGTGAATCGGCCATCCTTCAATTGGGACTGGCAAGTCGGGTAAACAACCCCCTTTCCAACTTCCTGGATTACGACTGCTCCGCAGACTCCAATCAGCACGTCTCACCTCGGAGTTCCGTTGTCATCCGCCCCACCTCGACATCGTGCTCAAATTTCTGGAAGAGGTGCATACTGAGCCTCAGATTGAAGACAGTTGTAAAGACCAATCTGGCGCTGAACGTCCATTTTTCCAGACCGCCATGTGATTCTTCAGAAGGCCGGGAGTGTGTTGGTTTTTCATGGGAAGCGAGGAAGCCCTAACCTGCTGAGGCTCCTCCTGGAAGGAGTAAGCCAGGGCAAAGCTGCTGAGAGTTAGGAACTGTGTCTTTCTCTTGGGCATGAGTCTGCAAAATGCTGGTTACGCACCAAAAATGCATCACATATATAATTGGTGACCTGAGGAACCAAACCTCTGTAAAGGAGGCGTATAGTGTGTGTCACATGTATTTTGGAAGATTGGTCCTTGGATGGTCTGTCTTTTGAGGGCTTTGCGGCTTCACTTGGCTGGAGAGTCACGGGGGAGGAATCGACTGATGATTGGAAGGACGGTTTTTAACTTTAATGAATGAGCAGATTGACGTGACCTTCTGCTCCAGGGACGTCTTCTGTTAGAAGTATATATAACTCCCAATCTTTTTCTTGTGGCCTTGGCTGTGGAAAAAGCCCTCACAATACAGCCGATGGGGATCACTTCAGTCGTCGTTGCCTGCATTCTCCTCCCCATGGAATCAACTTCGTCTCTAAGAAGGTGTCGTCTCAAGCCTCCATTTCGGCCTTTTCCCCAGTCCCGCCCACCCCGCAGGCCGCCCCTCGTGAAATCTTCTCTGTTCTGTCTCAGCCACACCCTCCGCTGCAACTCGGGAGGGATCTCCAAGATCTGCAAAGCACGCTCCATAAAGGCCTGGTGACGGTAGGACAAGCATCCCGGAGTTGACATGGAAGAATGGAAACAGCGCGTTGGTTCGATATCATAAAGAAGGCTTGGGGTCGTCTCAGATTTCACACAAGAGTATATGTTATAGCTGTGCACATATATATATATATAAAACATATTTCATGTTAATTCAACTTGTCCAGGAAGGAATTGGGGAAGCCCAGTTCATCCTAAAGAAGAGGTGCATTACATCAACAGAGTTAAAGCGGACCCAGCCACAACCAAGCAAGACAAGGGCACCCCACCAACACAAGACACGGTACAAAGAGCAAGAAGAACGCCAAATCGACATTCTCTCAGATCTTTTGATCGACTATCAGAACAGAATTATATATGAATTATGACCATTGTCTTCGAAGTGCCCAAGAATCTAAGAATCTAAGCCCAACTCTGACCAATGCCTTGTTCTCTTCATGCTTGCTATCCAAGGCAAAAGCCCGTTGCTGCTCGCGCATAATAGCAGAGATAAAAAGCGCCACAACCACGCCTGAGCTGTTAAACGTTGCAATTATTTGGGACCACATTGTGAATAGTACCGGACAGAGGTCTCAAATTCCGGTCCAAAATCTGTCAGGTATCGTCAAAGACAATCTGTTGTACAGGGGTCAGGCAAAGATATGAACTGGTTCAGAAAAATCTGGCCTGGGGATTGCAAATACTACATAGTCGTCGAATGTGTCTATGTACTTTGGTCCCATAGTGCCAGTAGTTCACGGCCCACTGTAAATTTTTTGAAGGCCTGCCAGAAACATTTTGGGCACGGCGGCCTCTTGCAATGTTGTTGCAGGATGACTTCAAAATCACTGCTTTAGATTGTAGATCCTTAAGCATAGGTGTAGCGAAGCGCCATCTACCTTCACCTTGAAGCAACAGCGGGAACCATTCGGATTTCAACAAGATCCAAGTTGCATCCCAGTGGTCCAAAGATTGACACCATCAGCAGTGATCCAAAGTCCTGCAGTCACTGACTCGCATGTCCTTTTGGTTCAGGTGGAGAAAAACAAAACAAACCGCTGTCATTGGGAAAACCATAAGACCAAGTCAGTGTTAGATTCCATACCATACCCATCTTTCCACTGCATGCGTCGACCACATGCTGTGGTCAGAAGCGGATTTCCTTCGGCCCGTGTAGCCGGTGGGGTTTTCGTTTCTGCCCTCGGCCATTGAGCCGCCGGGTGTTACATTCCCGTGGGGGGCTTCTGGTGCTCGGGGCAGATAAACCGTGATAAACCTGTCAAAGTCGAAGCATGAAAGTGAGCGAACTTGGAAGAGAAAGCTCACCAACAAAGAGTTTCCTTTCACCAATCCTTCATGTCTTCAAAGCCAATCTTCCCGGTAATCCTAGCAGTCCAGCGCTCATTGGCCCGCCTGGCTGGTCTCCCGTCGCCTTTCCTGTCCGCCTGTCCTTGTGTCGTGGCCCTCCATCGCCGAGGGGATTGTCCAAGGATCCAGTTAGCATGTACCTCAATGCAAATCATTACGGGATCATAACTAACCTTACCCCGCTGATGAACATCCCTCCGCAAGTGGTTTTTCCCCAGATAGCAAAGCTATGGGGTTCTTACTTCAAATAGCAATGAGTTGCCCGTGCGCGCTTTCGAGACAGGTTGCTGGTGCTGGGTGAGGGTGCTGGTGCTGGTGCTGTGAGCTGGCTGTGCGCGTGGTGGAGACAGGTTGCTGGTGCCGGTGCTGGTGCTGGGTGCCGGGTGCCGGTGGTGGTGCTGGTGCCGGTACTGGTGCTGTGAGCTGGCTGCGCGCGCGGTGGAGACAGGTTGCTGGTGCCGGTGCTGGTGCTGGGTGCTGGGTGCCGGTGCTGGTGCCTGCGCGCGTGGTGGAGACAGAATGCTGGTGCTGGTGCCGGGTGCCGGTGCTGGTGCTGGCTGCGCACGTGGTGGGGCTGGTTGCTGGTGCTGGGTGCCGGTGCTGGTGCTGAGGCAGGTTGCTGGTGCTGGTGCTGGGTGCCGGTGCTGGTGCTGGGTGCGGGTGCCAGTGCTGGTGCTGTGCGCTGGCTGTGCGCGTGGTGGAGACAGGTTGCTGGTGCTGGTGCTGGGTGCCGGGTGCTGGTGCTGGGTGCGGGTGCCGGTGCTGGCGCTGGCGCTGTGAGCCGGCTGTGCACGTGGTGGAGACAGGTTGCTGGTGCTGGTGCTGATGTCGGGTGCCGGTGCTGGTGCTGGTGCTGGGCGCCGGTGCTGGTGGTGTAGCTTGCATATGTGAGGGGGTCTATTTTCGGATCATTTTTTCAGATAGCGAAGCTATGGGGTTCTCACTTCAAATAACAATGAGCTGCCTGCGCGCGCTTTCGAGACAGGTTGCCGGTGCCGGGTGCTGGTGCTGTGAGCTGGCTGTGCGTGTGGTGGAGACAGGGTGCCGGTGCTGGGTGTCGGTGCCGGTGCCGGTGCTGGTGCTGTGAGCTGGGTGCGCCTGGTGGAGAGGATTTTTTGTTCCCTATATAGCGACAGCTATGGGGCTCTTATTATTTCCAAGGACAATGAGCTGGCTGTGCGCGCTTTCGCACCGGTGCTGGTGTCAGCTGATTGTGCGCGCTGTGGAGGTGCCGTAAGCTGGCTGCGCAAGCTGCGTATATTCTTGTTCCAGCCAGTCGCATGTCAACAGGTTGTGGGATTCTGCCTAGGTATCTGGGTCTATGCTGGTGAAATTAGTGGAAACTCTTCATCCAAGCGAGGTTTGTGTTCTTTAACGAGGGGCAATAGAAACCTTCGCGGGGTCAATTGGAATAATCGATTGGGAGTCTGAAAGAAAAGAGGCTTTGCATTCGGAACGGCGTGCCAAATCTCCCCAAATTTCCAAAGCACCAAACTCACTTGCTGCAAGACTGTAAGATTTCTGCCCTGGGCATCCAAAATCCTTTTGCGACGGTCTGTGGGGGGGTTTGATATGCCAAGCCAATGCACTCCCTGAAGCTTCGCGGTTCTTGAATCTTCTGGCAATCAAACCCACCAAAGCCAGAGCCAGTTCCCAGAAACTCCGAGGGGCAAAGCTTCGACGAAGGCCATGAAGTATAGGGAAACACCACCAGACACTTGGCCTGAAACGAGTGTTCACACTGTTGGGGGTCAAGTGGAACGAGCGTTCACGTCGAGAATGAGATCCGGGAAAGTACATCGTCTGAGGCCCCTTTCAAAAGCTCTAGTGGTTTGAGATGGGCAATGCCCCACATTCTTGGTTTTGGGCTCAACAACATCAACTGCGTCAAGCATCGACAGCTCAACTATCTGGGGCTGTAAGACTTGTGTCACAAAAACAGCTCTTCCCGGCCTGAGATGCCATATCCCATGTTAAAGGTCGTTGCAAACTCCTCCTCGTGATTGATCAGCTCTTGTCCTTTCAAAGCAACTGAAGGAGCCTTCACGGCACAGAGTGTTGGTGTAATCTGGTTTACTGCAAAGGAAAGTAAGTCATGGCACTGAGGGTCTTCATGTTGATCTATATAATACATCAAGACATGCTCCGCCACAATCTGCTTGGATCATGTCTTTGGCACTCAAAGAAGTTTCGCTAACGAATGGTGAAGTCTCAATAGCCTCTATGCGCCCCAAACAAATACAAAAGCAAGATCTCCCTTTAAACAACTTCCACGCCTTCCTTTCACCTCCTGCTGGGATGTACACACGCCAAGCTCATGAAACACTCTACATCTTCATCAATCTCTCTTCTCACAGCTTTGACTCCAAGACTCGGAAGCCGCCCACAGTGAAGAGGAGACAAGCAGTCCAGTGTGCTCCCAAGACCAACAAGACCACCGGCCGACCCAAGCGCACCACGATGTTGTCCTCCAACCTGGAGGACGCGCGGTGCAAAGCAAAAACCCGAGGCCATGGCCGCACGCCTTTTTTGCAGCTCCAGGCCTCGTGGTCTTTTTCGTCGCCGATTCGAAAGCTATACAGGGTACATTCATGAGAAAGACTAGCCAAAAGGTCAAGAAGTCCTGCACCCTAAACTCTCAACCCTGCATCCTAAAGTCCATGATTCAACTTGTCACCCCAACAGTACACGCATCGAAAGGAGACAATCAGAAGCCTCCTGTCCATGCCAAGCAAAAGTCTTTCAACCCCAGATCTTCGGGCTCAAATACAGCCTGGTGTCCATAGAAACATTCAAAAGGAACAAAGATCAAGATCCATCGAAGCTTCTCATTCAGATTCCTTCCTCCCTGCAATAGTCTCTTGTCTTCTTCGAAGAGCCATAAATCTTGAGAAGACCCCAGAATCGCCGCAGCCTCCAAAGAGCATCCGGCGCCCGCAGCAACGGACCTGGATGCTGAGACCCACACAGCTCTGGCTCGCGGGAGCTGCGAGGCCATTCGGTTTCAGTCTGAGGGTCTGAATCTGAAGCTTCAGGACGAGCATCCGCACACTAGTGTCCCTCCCCCGAAACAAGCAGTACCCACCCCTCAACTGTCGATGAAGCTCATTGTTCAACTGCAAGAGCCAAACATTGGTGCGCCCTCCCAGTATTTCTTCTCTCCCTCTCTCGCGCAAGCACCTACACGTATGATCTTGAGGTTGTTGAGCAACAACGTGGCCCCGAGTCCTGGCAAAATGGATCTTCTTTAGCGATTCCGAGGGCGAAGCATCCTTAACGCACGGAAGCAAGGCCCTTCAATGGAAGGAATCAGACCAAAGTTGCAGTTTGCTTACAAGGTCTTACAAGTAGACTATGAACTCTATCCTCTTGACTTAACGATGTACCAGAATTCCTAAACCTTCCAGGTGAGAGGATGTCTCTTTCAGCTGCGCTGGCCAAAATCAAAAAGATGAGGCCTCCCCGTATTATCCGAGCAAGCTCCGCCACAGCTGGAAGTCCCTTCCTGAAACTTTTTGTAACTCATTCCACGGTCAGAACCCCATACTGCCCCATGCTCAAATTGCTCACTAAAATGGTGTGGTTTGATGGTTCTTGCCACCAGTGATCCTACGTGATGTTCTTTGCTTGGAGCGGGGGTTGAACACACGCTGAAACCTCCGTGTCCCGTCCTAGCCACAGGTAGGAGAAAGCGCTGGCCACTTGTATCCACCAAATCACGCTGCCCGTGAAGTAGCTGCGGATCTTCTGTGGATCGAGGACTTCCTGCTTCACACAGCGTCTGAGGTGTCTTCCCAGTCGCTTTCTGCGACGAGGTCAGGTCAGGGAGGTGAAGTGGAATCCGGAAATCCGAAACCGCTCTTTGCCCAGACGGGTGGTGTGTCAAAGGCCGAAGCAAAAGAAAGACCTTGTATGCTCAGCCAAGGCTCCAACATCTTCCCTAGAAAACCTGCAAACGATCTCTCTACGAAAGGTCTGCACTGCGGAAGCCTTGGCTCTGGTGGTTTGAGAAGAGTTCAAGGTCGGAACATGAATCCATCGTTCTTTCTTTGGGCTTCCCCGCTTTTCGTTTTAAAGCCCGGGGCGTAGGCCGCTAGAAGAGGTAACTATATAGCAGTCTAAGTAAGCTACTACCTACAGGACGCAGGATAGCTCAAGCGCTCGCACAATTCTATATATTGCTTCTACTAGCTTCTTGTTGCTACTAGTAAGGCACTTGTTACTAGAAGCGAGGCACTTGGTACTAGTAGCGATGCACTTGTTCTCTAGATGTTTAGGGAAACTTAAGGAACCGGGATCGTGACTTGCACAATTGGCAGCTCCAATTCATGCACGCATTGTCTTCAACCATCGTGGGGAGGGAACGAAGGAAGACCCCAACCAGAACAGGTCAAGTACTTTCAAAAACGACTCAGTGCCACCCTCACATACTTCTGTGATACAAGGTCGCTGGGTAGATTCGGTAGATCCCCCTTTCCAACAGATTGCAGTCACAAACATTTCCCCAAAAGCCCAGTTCACAAGAACAAGTGCCACGCTACTAGGAACAAGTGCCTTACTAGTAGTAACAAGAAGCTAGTAGAAACAATAAGCTACTAGATTGCTTAAGGCGCGACACTCCAGATCACAGGGTCCTTCTTTGTGATCGGGTGGAGGAAGGAAATGCGGAAACGCAGGGCCAAACAAATGCCGTAGACAACATCCATGATGCCTCAGCTTTGGCTTAATATGGTAGAAATACCGCCCATACATGTTTGGGTCGGTTGACAGAATCTCAGCTGACATACCGAGTCTTCTCAAGAAAACCAACTCTTTCCAGCTATACTACAGGTCCTTGCAAAGTCTTCCCATGCCGAAAAGCACCTCCGTTCCAACGATCTCGAAACAAAATGGAAACACTCAACACAACAAACACATCAAGTAGCTGTTGAAGCAATTGAAGCGAAGAATAGAAAACATCTCAGAAATAACTTCTTTAGGCTTCTCCCACCAGGGTGCAATCGAAGGCCAGCAAACCTGAGCCCCCAGGAACCAGCTCTGGGTTGTTCAAATCCCCGGACAAAATAAAGCTCAAAGGCGCTACAATGCAAGTGCCTCAGATCGCTTTTCGACAGTGGCGCGCTCCACCGCGGTGACGGGTGGCACTTGGTCGAGGTTCTCTGGAAAAAGAAACAAGAATCAGAAGGAATGGGCCTACAAACAGGGGGCGGGGTGTGCTCACTTTGACTTTGGGACAGAAAGATGAGTTCATCGCCGAGCCCTGCACACCTACTACTTCTTTTGCTGCCTTCTCGAGCGGTAGAGCTCCACCAGGTCTCCTACAATCGTCGACCACAGTTTTCCACCTTCGGTGCTCCGCCGGGTGCCCTACGCCGGCCCAGGCACCCACGACTGAAAGAAGGCGAACGAGCTCCACCATCCTGGACAAATGAAATCCGCAAGGTTCAAATGAAATCCGCTCCCGTTGTGATGTGAGGTGATGCCCGTTCTTCCACCGGTGCGGAGAACGGAATCATGCTCGCCTTGCTGCCCGGGACAAGTGGAAACGCCACAGGAGGTCTTCGTCCACATCATCATCATCGCCATGGAAGAGCTCCTGACAAGTATCGTGAACTTTTAGTTTTAGTGTGTTTTTTTTCTGACTTTAGACAGTGATTTGTTTCATGAAAGAAGTGAAGGGGTATAGTATCTTGGATCCTTGACTTACTCCGAATCATGGCCAGAACATTCAAGGCCATGTGAACATTGGAGTTTGGCAACAATTGAGAACCTTTGCTCAGTAAGCTGTCTGGGAATCACTGATTGGCCATTCCACATCGCGGACAAGCTCACGACACTGCAGTCTTTGGTCCCACCCCTCGCCTTTATGTTCAAGATATCGCTGATCTCATCATCATGATGTTGTCCCTCATACAAGGACCGCTCCAACTCGCCGGGCGACCACCTCGCCAGCTTGAGCTTTGGAAGGTGCTGCAAAAAGCCAGACAAAAGGGCGGAAAAAACATGTGCATCGGAATTGACAATAATTGCTGAATGAGGGCATAATCTAACAATCCGGGCACTCTGCAAACCAGTCCGGCAAGCAACGGAAAGCCAGAAGCGAGCGGGCACGGTTCTTCTAAATGGCCAAGTTCACTAATGGTTTGCTTTGTTTCCCTCTCTTCTGTGCTCTTTGTGCGTCAGGTGCTTTCCATCCTTTTTGGGTTACTCTTGCTTCTTTGTCTTTGCGAGCCTTGCTGCTAAAAAAACTGGCTTTAAGCCTCAATGTGATTTTCGTGTTATTGGCTTCGTTTTTTGGGGGTTCCTGGTTGGTTTTCCTATGTGCTTTCCATGCCTTTTAAGTTGGCTTGCCTTGTTTTCGCCTCTTCTCAAGTAGGTTAGCCTTGATCCAGTGCGTTGTCTGTCAAAAAGCGTGGTTTCATACTTTTGGGGTTGCCGTGTCAATGTTCCCACATGCTTTCCAGTGCGTTGTCTGTCAAAAAGCGTGGTTTCATACTTTTGGGGTTGCCGTGTCAATTTTCCCAGGTGCTTTCCATTCTTTTCAAAAGGGTTTGCCTTGCTTGTGTCCATTCTGTGCTCTTTGTGTCTTCTTGTGGGCCTTGGTGTCAAAAAATTATCATCTTAAGCTGATTTGCTTTGTTTCCGTCTCTTCTGTGCTCTTTGTGCCTTAGGTGCTTTCCATCTGTTTTAAATGGGTTGCCCTTGGTTCTTTGTCTTTGTGAGCCTTGTTGCGAAAAAGACTGGCTCTAGGCATCAATGTGATTTTCGTGTTGTTGGCTTCGTATTTTTTGGTTTCTTTCCATGCCTTTTAAGTTGGCTTGCCTTGTTTTCGCCTCTTCTCAAGCAGGTTAGCCTTGATCCAGTGCGTTGTCTGCCCAAAAGCGTGGTTTCATACTTTTGGGGTT